GCAGAACTATTTCAAATAATAAGTAGATTCGTTCTAGCGAAAAAAAAATTTTGGGGTTAGGTGCACTTTAGATCCCAAGTATTATTTTTTTGATTTCATATTCCCTTTGATCACACCTTTAACCCAGGAGTACTTTATATAAATCTGGCTTTCTGTTTCTATTAAAAATCCATAAGTTTATAGTCTTTTAAGTAGAGTTGTGTCAACTAGAAAAGCATTTTCTGAATGTTAAACTCTGGATACTGATGCTGAAAAGCCCTTTTAGGCATGTTCCATTACGTGTATTCATGTATGGTGCAGGATAATTTTTTCTTTATTGCTTCAAGAACAAAAGAAGTCATTACAATTGCCTGATTAAAAGCCAGTGAAGTGCTTATGCTACCATCCTTGCATTTTATTACGCAAGGAATTATTCTCTTGAGTAAGTTTCTCTGCATTTCCTTGCTCCTTACTGTATGCTTTCTTGAGGCGCTCATTCTCTTCCTTGAGCTTCTGAATTTATTGAAATTAACTCCGCTCGTTTTTCTAGAGGGTATTCTTCACATTTATCTTCTTCGTTGACTGAGGCTCCTCGCTATTAAGTTAAGGCTATGGTTCAAATCCTACTAAGGTGCAAATTTTTTTTTTTTTTTTAACTCCGACAAATAAGCTTAAATCTAAGCCCATGTACTTAAGCTTACCTTTCTCGGCGAAATATAATGTTTGCTACAAACTATCCGCTCCTCAGTGTCTGCCTGAATTAAGTGTTAGTTGCAAGTGTTGGGGTTTAAAAAAAGCTTATCGGTGTCGACAAGGCTCTCAAACACTGTAATGAGGCGTTGGGAGCACTTAGTCAGCCTCCCTGAACAGGTATCACTCGCCGAACTTTGCGGAAAGCAACAAGTTGTCTGGTTACTTATACGTAATTTATCGTAGTGCCGAATGCACAGAAAAATACCCTCCCCTAATTCATTAACACTAAAAACCTTTCCCCAACTGCGATCCAAGGAATTTTTTTCTTTTTCGGTTTGGAGGGCCCGTTGTCCCTGGGCGCATATCATTGTTTACCACAAAAAGTGAAACATGATATAAAAAGTTTCATTTTTTTTTTTTTTTAAAGTCACGTAAATTTACCCAAGCGGCTGCGCCTTGAAATGGCGGGAAATTTTCGCGGGCCAACCGCGGCGCTGCGGCAAGAACGACAACAACTCCATCTTAATATTCTAAACAAATCTTGTTTTATTTCACATGAACAAAGAGAGGCGTACAATGTTAATGGAGTCTGTTAGAGCATTGACTAAATGACGGAAATTACAATCATGATGGCATTTAAACTCGAAAGGAACGCCTAACGAGAAAACAAACTTGTCTCTACTCACAGATTCGTTTGCTATCACCTTTTTCATCCGCTCAAGCGAATTCTTGCCGACAAATCGCCAATATTTATTCTCGCAGAGCTTCATTGAGTTGCTCCTTTCGGTTTTTCTCAAAACCATGGAAACGAAAAAACAACAGTCATTTTTGATATTTCCTTGCAGAAGAAACAGCGATAACGTAGTCTAAATCTCAAGCTTAACAAACACTGCGCCGTCTTAACAAACGAGAAAATCGGAGTCCAGTTTCTCTTCCACCAGTAGCGAACGTTAGCACAAGAGGGAACCAGGTAAGGTAAAACATTCTGTAGAAAATGACCGCCGATCTCACTAAACGCAATGCCAAGGCAAGCTAGAAGCGTCGAAGGCGTAATTCAACCGATCATCAAAGTTTGAATAAATGTATGAGCAGCCTGGTGAGAGGCTCAATTACGTGGCGAAAGCTTATTCGTCGTCCGCCATTTTGAAACATTTGAAGGCGGGAACTGAGTGCGCATGTTCAGCGTTTTTTTTTTTTTTTTTTTTTTNAAATCCACACACGAGCCGCTAGTAGCTCCGACGCCCGCGCTACTAGCAGCTCGTGACATCGCCGCTCGCACGTGACGCTCACAGTCACGCTAGCACGCTTACTTGTTTTGCGTTCTTCCCGACGGATTTTCGAAAGAAAGAGAGCCTGCTTACAGCCTATTTTAATGTCAAGGTTAGCTTTCTTTTTCCTCATTTGCATTACGTTGTATTCCAACGTAGATGAAATGCACTTTTAGACTGCAACTACAAAATCGTCCGAAATTAACCTTAGATGTTGAATTATTTTAATTATTATACATTGAACTCGCTATCTCTTTTCTGGTTGGCCGAAAGCGTACAGTGACTTTTCGAAATCAGTGCCTGTGACGACATCTAGTTGCAGATTATACAATAATCATGTCAAGGACACTCAAGGTCACGGGTAATCATATCATGTATGACCGCGGTGCATGATTTCTAAGGGTAATCATGTCAAGTTCGCGCGATTTATGTTGCTTGCCGTCAGTGAAGAAGCGATAACATAACTTCCATTTTAATAAAACAATTATTAGATTCGGTTTTATCAGCCTCAGCCCTCGGCTTTGGCTGATAACCCCTACCTCGACCTTGATTATTCTGGATATCACAAAATCCTCCTCCAATAATTGTTTATGATTAAAAGCATAATAAATAACTGCGAAGCTCCGATTTTAGGCTTGGCTAAGTCTATATACTATTTTAATTCTCGGAAATATGGCATTGCATGATATAACATAAAAAAGAAAAAAAAAAAAGGTACCTACTGAGGAGTACTGGTATTTTATCAAGTTTCAAGTATACTTTAAAATCAAATTGCAAATATAATAAAAATAAGGAAAAGTTGATATTTGTTTCAATGGCCCAGTACTGGAATCTATTCCGAACAAGCAACATAAACAAGTCTAACACTTGTACAAAAAATGCCTAAAGAGATTAAGTTCAAAATTGCTATGAAAAAAGATATTTCGTCCAATTCGCAATTCTGATCGTTTGCTAATTCTCTGTCTATAATTTTTCGACTCGGCTACCTTTGTTATTTGCCTGACGATATCCTTGTAATAAAGATGGCATATTGCGTTACAGCACTTATCTTCTCGCATGCAGAATTATCTACATCTTAGATCTATGATGCACTTTTTTTCAAATTAGCATTTCTCCCGTATTATTTCTAGTTGTCAGATGGCAAACGTTTTCAAATTGCTTGTCTGACTATGTAAGCATTGCGTATCTATTCTGTACGAGCTGGAACCTCCTGCGCATGAGTATAGGCTACTTGGAGCCTCTTGTTTAATACCAAATAGCTATATTACTCACCTGATAACAAACTAAGCCATTGGCCGTATTTTCACGACAACCGTTGTCTCGCTTAACATTCCGGAAAGTGTTTTGTTTCCAGGCTCCGTTAAGCGGCTGCAAATGATACGTGTTTTCACCAGTAGGATTATATTTCATTTAGTTAATTTGAGCCGTTGTTTATATGTCCGTTACACCGATTGACTGATTGATTGATTCGATCGATCACACTTTGACCAACCCATATTCTAGAATGTGAACAAACCAAAACAACAATCTCGTCACGGCATATTTTCCACATGACTTACCCTGACCGAGAATTTCAAATTTAATTAAATAAACATAGAATGTCTAGACTTCCCTGAGCTTAAAGTGATTCAGTTCCCTTAACCTTGGCTGAAGTGAGCATTAAAAAAGAGTGCTTCAAATTGGCAGCAAGTAATCAATCTATTCTGTCGTTATAGTTTGCGTATTCCACGAAAGCAGTCTGCACTTTATTTCAGCGCTAAGTGTGTCAGCTCAGAGAGTAGATAGCGAACAAAGGGTCTTCAAACTCAAATACTGACATTCCACGCAAAGCGCGATTTTTGCAGTTGAGTCTGCTGTCAAATTTTCTTTTGTTTAAAAGGGCAGCAAAATATCTTGAAAGGGTCTATTTACAAAGCAGGAATACAGCCAACCTGAAAAGTTATCATTTCAGCTTACCAACTGGAGGATTCATTTTATTTTGCAATTCCACATCACTGAAGAATCGATTAGTCAGCTATCTTTTACCGAAATTTTCGTTATTTGGTTCGAATTTGTTTAATAAACCTAATACGTGACCATGCGCAGCCTCTGTAGGAACACGTAAATAAATCAATAGGAACATTTCCCGAGCTTTTCATTGGCTTTGCTCCATAGGGCGTGACAGAAATTATTTTTCTTTTATTGAAGGCTAGTTACATGGTTATGAGCGGAACTCATCGTTCACTTCTTGCTACTTTTGTCCATTGAAGAACGAAGATCTATCTGAAACTTGAACACTTTTGAAGAACTAAGGTATGAAAAGAGTGAAGCGAAAAAGTTACGCTAAGTTCCCCTTTTTTAAAGATATACAGGGCAAAAGCCAAATATAATAGCCTCGAATATGCAATCGAGAGGTCATAGAATCCGAGATTATTCAAGTCTCCCGCAATACCTGATGTACAAATGGGGTATGTCAGAGTATTCAAGTAATTACTCGTCAAATATTAAAGTCTTATTAGGGAAAACATTCCGGAATCAAATAGGATATTCCAGGTGTGTTTCGTGTTAGACGTCTCTCTGAATACCGCAAAATATGTCGGTGTGCACGGCGTTCGCTTATTCGTACTTGAGCGAATTTGGGCGCGAATCAGTTTGGCTTTTGGCTGTTCTTCGGTCTGGATTTTGCTTTCAATTTTGAGTTTTATCTTGACAAGAGAATCCAAGTTAGAGTTTTGAGTCAGGATTTTTCGAATCAGGATCTTGAGTCAGGATTTCAAGTGCAGGTATGGCTAGTCACTAATGTTTACTAGCAATTATCTTTCGATATGGTTTGCTTGAGAGGCTTTGCGTCATTACCGACTTGAAATACGGGTTGTCAGTTTAACCTAGTAAGTACAATTTTCCTAATTTTTTTTATGGTTTGGAAATTTTAAAGACCTTGCTATTGATGAGAAGGTTGTAAAAGACAAAATTATCCAGAAATTAGTCCATCGAAACGTAGCTGGAATGCTATCAGTTGGAATTAAAACAAGGGGTTATCCCTTTCAATTTTTGCAAAAATTAATTATGTATGCAGTAGCCATACACGCGTTCGTGTTTGTTTGTGCCTCCACGGATGGCAGAGATTTGTAATTAGCGATCACGGAATGTTTTTGTTCTTCTACCCGTTGATGGAGGTGGTGGCAAGTGTACTCAATATAATTTCCATCGCACAAAATCATTAAAGTGAAAATTCCTAAACTCAGAGCATCGAAAAAAGTAATTTGTCTCCCCTAACTTTTAATTATTAGCTACTTAGCCATGTTTGCAGCCTTCATAAGGATCCATTCAGAAGAGTTTCAAGTCACACTCATGAGAGTAAAAAGAGCATAATTCAGAGGCAGCTAGCGCTAAAACAAACATCGATAACTAAATGTTCCAATGCACAATAAAGGAAGTGATGGCCATTGGTCTACAAAATATTGTCAAACAAGTTGTTTCGCGGGGAGTTTTTCGTCTTTAGTTCAATATTCAGGCATAGTTTCCGCCAAAGTTTTATTCTTAAAAGACACAAAAACGCATTTCACTGAAACATATATATAAGAAATAGATTTCAAAAGCTACCATTTTCTGCTTCTTGTTGATTTGTTTACCCTGTCAGCTTGGTTTCGGATGCAAAATATGGCCAAAGAATCATTGCGTGATGTCCAAAGCATTGTAATCATCAAGAATTGAATGCTGTTTTGTTCAATCACTGCTCTTTTAGAGTAACATATTGGTATATTACAACATAAATACAGTAAAAACCCACGTGTAAGAAGCGACATGTTTTGAAGTCTGCCAAAATATAGGGTCTGTTGTCTTGGTGTAGCTATTGGCAATTTAGGCTAAGTAGGTTTTAAATTAGGTTCTTAATTTCTCTGAAGGAGATGTATGAGTTGATTACCAGAAAAATAGATATACCTACAAGGTTTCAAACCGTTTGTTCCTTGAATATACAGCATTTATTTACAATTGTGTTATGTATTTTCTTGGAATGTAAATTTGCAATCTCAAAGTCACACTCCTAGGCTTAAATGTTTGTTATAAAAACGCACATATAAGAAGAGCCTGCTTGATCTTGCTCAGTTAAACAGGTTCTTATGTTTTTGGCTATTAAAATAGCAAATTTCTGCCAGCAGTTCCTAATAAATGCACCGCAAGGTTCTTACATAAATACATGCAGGGTTTTATTGTAACATAAATCTGGAAGGATCATCAACAGCCTCGGTCATCACTGATCTTCACCGTCTTGACTAGTAAAACATATAATGCACCTTGCATGCATAGTTCTTACTGCCTATTGTTCAATACTCCTAAATGCCCAGATAACTATGTGAAGTAAGGCCAGCCCACTATTATTATCCATTTCAGTGTTCTGCAAACAGAATAGAAGGGGTGAATTAATAATCAGATTAAAAAATTATGTAATTTTTTTCGATCATTTATTAGAAAATCATTATTTCCAAAATAATAAGGTCATTTAAATATATCACATCACCTCATTGACATTCCTGAAGATGTTTTGTCTCCAGATTCCGTTAAGCGGCTGCAAATGATCCGTGTTTTCACGAGTAGGATCATGTTTCATTTAGCTAATTTGAGCCGTTGTTTATATGTCCGTTACACTGCTTGCTTGATTGATTGATTGATTGATTGATTGATTGATCGATCGATCACACTTTGACCAACCCATGTTCTAGAATATGAACAAACCAACACAGGAATCTCGTCACGGCATATTTTCCACATGACTTACCTTGAAAGAGAATTTGAAATTTAATTAAATAAATGTAGAATGTCTAGACTTTTCTGAGCTTAACGTGATTCAGTTTCCTTGGCCTTGGCTGAATTGAGCATTAAAAGAGAGCGCTTTAAATTGGCAGCAAGTAATCAATCTATTCTGTCGTTACAATTTGCCTATTCCACAAAAGCATTCTGTTCTTTATTTCAGCGCTAAGCGTGTCAGCTCAGAGAGTAGATAAAGCAAACAAAGGGTCTTCTTGTTGTTTTTGCTTTTGTTTGTTTGTTTTTGTTTTGTTTTGTTTAAAAGGGCAGAAAAATGTCTTGAAAGGGTCAATTTACAAAGCAGGAATACACCCAACCTGAAAAGTTATCATTTCAGCTTACCAACTACAGGGCTCATTTCATTTTGCAATTCCACATCACTGAAGAATCGATTAGTCAGCTATCCACTGGAGAAGTTGAAAATTTACAGAGTATGTAAATAACATGTAATTAACATGTAAATAATCAAAAAGAGACTGTAAGGATTAATTTACATGATTTTTCCCCTTTTACATGTTTTGGAGGTTTCATGTAAAAAGCATGTAAATATTTCAAGTGAAACATGTAAATGATGAAGAAAACACTGTAAATGTTTCAAAGCAAAGGTCTAAGATCATGTAAATAACATGTAAACTGTTCCTGCAAATACTGTAAATAGCCTGTAAATTTCTTGTGATTGAACCTGGAACCCGTAAATAACATGTAAATTTAATACAGGGAGGCTGCATAATACTGTAAATAACATGTAAATAAAAAGGGGAGGCTGTAAACAACATGTAAATAAAAAAAATGGAG